TGCTGCTCAATGTGAAAGCACGCAGGTGATGGAGATTTACCGCTGATTACAGAACCGGCTTTACTGATAAGATGCGCGTTAAATATCGCATGCGATTAATCGTGCAGCCCTAGTTACTAGTAACAATAGAATAGTTACTAGTCACTATTGAAATAATACTAGTATGTAATAAATAAGAAGTAGTATCTAAAGAATAAGTACTAGTAACTAGTAGAAGCACTAGCTCTTAATGGAATAGATACTAGTAGCTAAAAAATAATTAAATATTAATAATTAATAATTAAATGTTGAAACAGCATGCCATATCACAACAAGTTTTGGTGCAAGAAAATGGGCTTCATAGGTCAAAAAGCATTAAAGACATGGCATCTCTTTGATTTAAAGACTCATTAGAGGTGTGTTTGTGTCTGAATTGCAGGATCAGGTGCATTTGTCCTGTCAGCGCCTGCGTTCTCCTTCTGTTTCCCGCTGCTGCAGGCGGTGTTGAGTCAGAGCAGCGGATCCTCAGAGGAGAGCGAGCTCATGATGACCCGCGCGCTACAGGTCATCAACACACACGCGCAACTACGGGCCAAATCCAACGACACGCTTGCAGACAAGGTACACTTGGGTTTTCAGCTAGTTGTTTTGTAATTAATGTGTTTTTGATTTATTGATCTGTCAACTATGCAGTAATTGAAGTCTGTCTGGAAATTGACATGTGGATTTTAATTTGATTAGTTATTGATGATGAGGAATAAATTGAGGTTTATAAAGGCATGTAAATGTTCTTATATATATAATTAAATATCATGCAAATAAATGCCATAGTTAAGCCAGTGCATGTGACTTGATTTTCTCTTATGACTTGAAGTGAATGAAGGTATTATTAAATAACTGACCACAATTAGGTGCTGCAGGGATATTATGATATTAATCTGAATTTAGTTGGTATGTGTTATGTCATGTCAGTTCAGGTATATAAAATAAATAAATAAAATAAAAAAATAATATTCAGTTATAACTTATATAATATTTTTATATTATATAATATAAAAAAGTTCAAATAAAAAAATGAAATTATTAAAATTATGTTCAGGTATAAAAAATAAATTACAAATTCAGTGATACAAATATACAGTTTTATCTTTATCTAAAAATATAAGATTATTGAAATTATAAGTTATATTCCGGTTTAAAATCATAAATCATTTTTATTTAATACTCCACAAATTTTGTACAAATATTCAGTTATACCTTTACAAGCAAATAAAATAAATTAAAAACTGAAGTTATTATTTTGAAATTATTAAAATTATATTCAGATATGAAAGTGTAATAAGTTAAATAAAATCCAATAATAAACTTTTCAGTTATGTCTTTATCAAGTCAAGTCAAGTCATATATATATATATATAAAATCACTAATTAAAATGTAGCTTTATCTGTGCATGTTATTGAAGTAAAATCTTCATGTCATAAATGCACATTTATTATGATTCTATCCAAGTCTGTAAAACTGAAACCCTAACAGTTTATAATTGTCTTGTTCTGTTCTCTGTGCATGTTATTAAAGAAAAATCTCATAAAATGTCAGAAATGCACATTTAGAATGATTCTATCCATGTCTTTATAACTGAAACCCCAGCAGTTTATAATTAAGGTTTTTTTCTATTTGTCCAGAACGGCCCAGAGCTGCTGCCCAGAGTCAGTATGCTGCTGCTCTTGACCAAAGTGATCGGCACGTCCACCCCTCGTCTTCAGGTAGAGACTCACATCCAGATCAGCGCTCAGACGCACACTGTTTGAGGAGATGTACAATACAGATTGTGTCAAAGCAACTTTACGGCATTAATTAGGAAAATAGTGTGTCAATAATGCAAAATGACAATAGTAAACTACATTTTTCAGTTAAAGGCAGTTCATTGAATTCAGTGATCTCATCATCCAGCTCAGTTCAGTTTAAATAGTATCTGTGTGATCAAGTGCAAATCTTATATCTTATATTAAATATGCAATTTAAGTAATAAATGAAAGTATTAAAATTATTCAAGTTTAAAAATGAAAATGTAATAATATATATTACAAATTCAATAATAAAAATATCTATCTATATAAAATTTTAAATTATTAAAATTTTAATTTTAGCGCTCGCCGAACAGCCTGAGATTGACGCTCTGCTGGAGGCTTTACTGTCTCCGTGCTTCTCTGTCAGAGACGCTGCGCTCAGGGTCAGTGCCTTTCTCTCTCTTACGCGCATGACATTATATTATGAAATCCTTTTAATGAAAGCCTGTCGACTCGCTCTTGTAGGGTCTGCTGGAGATGGAGTTGGCGTTACCCACTGACGGCGCTGACGCCAACGGTCTGAAGATGCTGAGGAGACTGTGGGTGGCCAAATTTGATGTGGAGGAGGAGGGCAGAGCTCTGGCAGAGAAGTGAGTCATGCTACATTTTCACACAAACTACAGCTTCTGGTGCAGGACCTAATGGGAGTTTGTTTGGTGCTAAAGCTGCTTTCCAAACTCAGAACAACACAACAACACAAGTTCGTTTGAAAACGTGGATCTGATAAATGGTTCATCAGTTGGACTCCAGTGCGGTTTGAGAAAGTGAACTTCTGTTGATGTATCGTTTTGATAGCAAACTTTTCTCATAATATTTCTAATTTGTGTCAATAAGATAAAGTAATACTTTATTATACCAAGTAAAATCATGGGCATTTCTAAAGTGAATATGCATTTGTTTTAGTTTCACCAGCTAAAATAATTGAAATTTTTAAACTGAATGTGTATTTGTGTCAAAATAAAATAAAATAAAATACATTTCACCAGATAAAATTATTGACATTTTAAAGTGAAAATGTATTTTTGTAAACAAAAATAAAACATTTTCACCTGCTAAAATCATGGATATTTCTAAATTGAATATGCATTTGTGTAAAGTAATATTATTTCACTAGCTAAAAAAATGGACATTTCTAAAGTGAATTTGTCAAAATTATATAAAATAAAAATACATTATTTCACTTACTAAAATAATTGTCATTTTTATAAAGTGAATACTGATTTTTGTAAATAAAATTATGAAAATAAAATATATTATTTTACCAGCTAAAATAATTGACATTTTAAAGTGAAAGTGCATTTGTGTCAAAATAAAATGAAATTAAAATACATTTCACCTGCTAAAATCATGGATATTTCTAAAGTGAAATAACAAAAATAAGACACATTGTTACACCAGCTAAAATAATTGAAATTTGTAAGGTGAATATGGATTAATGGACCCTTATGACTGGTTTTGTGGTCCAGGGTCACAAATAATATTTTTTTTATATATATTTATGTCATTTATCTAATTATCTAATAATATATATATATTTTTTTAAATTCCTTCTCAGACATAACCAGCTAGATAAGTAAATTCAGTTTTTAAAAATAGTTTAGTTTATTAATAATTATTAAATAAGTTAATAATAATAAATAAATAATAAGAAAATAAATAAAATTAATAAATTAAAACAAAACAAAGACACTAGACTAAAACTATACTCAAATCAAAAACAACAATGGAAATGAAGTAAGCAAGTGATGATAAATTAAATCATGATGTATGATAAATAATGCTAAATAAATTCAACCTATCATGAGTTGTGGTGCTCATATGAGTGAAGCGGGTTCGAGTCTCGCTTGTGTGCTGCTCCTGTTCCATACTTTTTTCCCAATAATTCTGTCTTTTATCTTGGGTATTTGTCTATTAAATAAAGCCAAATAAATAATAAATAAAACATGCAGAGTGAAGAAAGAAAAATTCAAATTTAAGAAAAAAACATGCAAGGAAGTTAAGTAATTAAGAGTTGAAGGTAGAAAAAAGCCTGTCCTTGTCTCTGTCACAGGTGCTCTGTTTGCGTTTGAGATGCTGTGCAACATGCTGGGGAAGTTGTTTGAGCCGTACGTGGTTCACGTCCTTCCTCACCTGCTGCTCTGTTTTGGTGATGGGAACCAGTACGTCAGAGAGGTACAAACACTTTTTGTTTTCTACTTTCTACTTTTTTACTCGCATCATAACCAGATGGTCATTTTCTAGAACCCTAACCAGCCACTGTATTTAAATTCATCGTGTTGCACAGGGTGGCCCCGCCCACAGTGAAATCTCATTGGTCCAAAATCCTGCATTACATACATTACTTTAAGCATCAGACATGTTTTGATTGGCTGTGATTTTGTCACTTGACATGTTTTTTTGTTTTTTGCTGCTTTCAGTAAGTCCTGCAAACTGCTTGACTCTCAAACTATGTGGTGCCTCATCTAGTTGAAATGAGGTTGCATATGAATGCATCTGTGTTTTGAAATGTTGCATGATGGTTTGCTGTGTGTCAGGCGGCGGATGACTGCGCTAAGGCTGTGATGAGGAATCTGAGCGCTCACGGCGTGAAGCTGGTGCTGCCGTCTCTGCTGGTGGCTCTGGAGGAGGAGTCCTGGAGAACCAAAGCAGGTCTGCTTTGGGATGCAAAATAGTTTTTTTGGGAGTATAGTGTTCAGGCCTTTGTTAATGCAGATCATTGTTCAATTATTTATTTTTTATTGTATTATATATTTATTTAAATTATTATTGTTTTTATTATAGTATATTTTATTTTAATTATTATATTTATAGTTTTTTGTAATGATTATTTAATATAATTATATGTATTATTATTATTATTATTGTTTATTCATTATCACTCTCACATGAAAATGCATAGCATTGTTTATTTTATTATTTATTTTTCATTATGATATTTTTGTTTTAATTATTGTAAGTATAGTTTTTATTTTTTGTACTATTTACAATTTTTTTTATTAATCATGATCATTGTTTCACATGGTAATGCAGATCATTATTATTTTGTATTTTTATTAAATAATTTTTATGATTATTGTTTGTATTGTTTTATTTTTATTATAGTATTTTTAATTATTATATTTTTTTATTAGTTTTATTTTGTATTCTTTTTTTATTGAACATTATTGCTGTCTTACAAGGATGTGCAGGGCATTTTAATTATAGTTTTGTTATTTTATTTATTATAATTATATTTTTGTTATAAGAATTATTTATTTTTTATTATTAATGATTATCAGTCATTTCTAATACTCTCGGCGCTGTGTCTGTAGGGTCGGTGGAGTTGTTGGGTGCGATGGCGTACTGCGCTCCTAAGCAGCTGTCCTCGTGTCTGCCGAACATCGTTCCCAAACTGACGGAGGTTTTGACCGACTCTCATGTGAAAGTGCAGAAAGCTGGTCAGCAAGCGCTCCGACAGATCGGCTCTGTCATCCGCAATCCTGAGATCCTGGGTATGAACTATTAATGCTCAAATGCTTAGTGCTTCGCTTTTTTGATTGAGTGGGAGGTGTAGCACAAGCACAGTGGGGCTTTAATGCAAACGTAAAGGTTTGAACCATACATACTCAGTCACTGAACTGACATTGTGAATTGCGCAGCGATCACCCCCATCCTGCTGGACGCTTTGACCGACCCGTCTCATAAGACGCAGCACTGCCTGCAAACGCTGCTGGACACAAAGTTTGTGCACTTCATCGACGCTCCGTCTCTGGCTCTGATCATGCCCATCGTCCAGAGAGCGTTTCAGGACCGTTCCACCGACACACGCAAGATGGCTGCGCAGATCATCGGAAACATGTACTCTCTCACTGATCAGAAGGTAGGAAGTCATACTGACCTGATTACAGCCGTGCTGTTTTATATCCTAAATACTGTGTGTGCTATAACAGGTTTATAACTTCTGGTTCCTTTTTCCACCTAAGCTGGTGTTATGAAGTTCAAATTAACTTTTTATAAACAAATGATTCAGGATTTTTGGATTGGATGAAGGTTTTTTTTTTTTCTAAGAAATTAATGCTTTCATTCAGCAAGAATGCATTAATTTGATCAAAAGTGACAGTAAAGACATTTATAATGTCTTTAAAATAAATCAAAATAAATGTTGTTCTTTTGAACCTTCTATTCAGAGAATCCTTAAAAATTTAAATATGAAGCAGCACGATTGTTTTTAATCTTGAAAATCAGAAATGTTTCTTGGGCAGTAAATCAACATATTAGAGTGATTTCTGAAGATCATGTGACACTGAAGACTGGAGTAATGATGCTAAAAATTCAGCTTTGATCACAGAAATAAATTACAGTTTAAAATATATTACAATAGAAAATATTTATTTTAAATCATAATAATACTTCACTATTTTACTGTTTTTACTGTACTTTTGTTTTAAAAAGAAATGCAGCCTTGTTGAGTAATATCTTCTTCCTAAAACATAAATAAACAGTAGTTTAAAAGAAATACTAATACTAATATTGAACCAAATTAAAAAATTCCAATTAAAAAAAATATATTTTTGTCATTATTTATTCAGCAATTCGTTCAATTGTTTGTATTCAATCATATATAATAATATTTCACAGTATTACTGATTTTAATGTATTGTTTACCAAATAATGTGGCTTAAGCATCCATAAACAGCCTGCAGTTGGATTAATTATCTTGGAAGAATTGTTCATTTTGATTATCTATGTGAAATATTATTAGAATCAATATGCTATAAGAAATTGTTGCGCTTCAAATAAGTAAAATCTTTTTGCTTCAGGTGCGTAGAGCCAAAAAAGTCAATGCAAACAAGCAGAAAAATATTACTAGAATAAAATGTTTTTATAAAAGCTACAAGCCACTTTAGGCCTTATAGACACTGTAATTTTAGATGAGATCACCTCTGTGGTAAATCACTGTAGCTCACGGCCTTGAGTGGCTCCTCGCTTTAATATTGTTTTATGTGTTGTATTTGTTTGCAGGATCTGTCTCCGTATCTGCCCAGCGTGGTTCCAGGACTCAAAGCGTCTCTGTTGGACCCTGTGCCCGAGGTAATATCATCCGCACGGATCCGTGGGAACTCTTGAAGCCGGCTGGCATTAACTGTGTTATATGTGAACGTGTCTGTCGATCAGGTGCGGACCGTGTCAGCTAAGGCTCTGGGTGCTATGGTGAAGGGAATGGGTGAGTCCTGCTTCGACGATCTGCTGCCATGGCTCATGGAGACGCTGGCGTCGGAGCAGAGCTCTGTGGACCGATCCGGCGCCGCTCAAGGTGATCGAACCATCACTGCACCATTAGAGGGCAGCAGAGAGCTGCAGCACACTCATATTACACCTCCATACTACTTTACTCTATTAATGTTGTTCTTCATTCCTCTATCTTCGTCTCTCAGGTCTGGCTGAGGTGATGGCAGCGTTAGGTGTGGAGAAGCTGGATAAACTGATGCCAGACGTGGTTCAGACGGCCAGTAAGGTGGACATCGCCTCTCACGTCCGAGACGGATACATCATGATGTTCATCTACCTCCCTCTGACCTTTGGAGAAAAATTCACCCCGTATGTGGGTCCCATCCTTCCCTGCATCCTCAAGGCAAGACGGCATGATTGAATGCATTAATCATTTCACATTGGTTATCTCCTGCATTTTCAAATTCAAGAATATGAGCTCGAGAAGTTTAATGTAAACTGTTGAATTTAAAATATATTTATTATTAAATATTTATTTTAATATTAAGAAGCTGTTTACATTCTTAACATTCTAGAAAGTAAATATTGAGATTTATTTTCTTATTAATAAATTATTATTAAACAATTAATATTTGTTTTCTTTGAGTAATGTTAAGAAATGTATTTCTTAATAGTAAATAATAATTATTATAAATTACTCATAAGAATATGAGCTCAAAGTTTAACAAACTATTGAATTGTTAAAAATATATTTATGAAAATGGTAATTAATGTTAATGTCTGTTTTTAGTAAGAAAATGTTTACTTTCTAAATATTTAAGAAAATAAATGTTGAGATGTATTTTCTTAATAATAAATTATTATTAAACAATTAATATTTATACGGTTTTCTTTGAGTAATATTAAGAAATTTATTTAAATTATTATTAAACTAATTAATAAATTAACATTAATTATAAATATTAAGAAAATAAATTGTTTATTTGCACAATCTTTATTTGAGAGAAGGAATATTATAAAATATATAAAATATGTATTTTCTTAGTAAATGTTGCTGGTTATTTCCTCTAAAGGAAAACTTTAAAATTTA